AGTAAATATAAACTGCTAAATACCTTTTCTCATCAGCAGTTAGAGCAGTCTTGTGACTTCTATCAGTGTCCAGCCCAGCACTAGTTAAAGGAACAGATCCTCTGTCTGGACAGTTCTGATTGGCCCTTTGCTGATCACATGTACCATCCCAAGAGAAAAAAAAAACTCTAGCAACACACACCAAACTGAGCATATGAAGCTTGCTTCCAAGCCTCTATTCTATCAGGAGATAGATTGGGGACTGTGAAAGAAGGAAAGGATGAGAGAAGTCAGGATCAAACATCCTTTTTACATTTGCAGAAGATTAACCCCTTAGGTTCCACAGTGAGTATAACAAGCATGCTATACTGCATATACAGACTTATTTTACTGTTGTGGGTTTAGTAACACTTTAAACGTTGGGATAAGTATACAGTCAGGTTCATAAATATTGGGACATCGACACAATTCTAACATTTTTGGCTCTATACACCACCACAATGGATTTGAAATGAAACGAACAAGATGTGCTTTAACTGCAGACTGTCAGCTTTAATTTCAGGGTATTTACATCCAAATCTGGTGAACGGTGTAGGAATTACAACAGTTTGCATATGTGCCTCCCACTTGTTAAGGGACCAAAAGTAATGGGACAGAATAATAATAATAGATCAAACTTTCACTTTTTAATACTTGGTTGCAAATCCTTTGCAGTCAATTACAGCCTGAAATGTGGAACGCATAGACATCACCAGACGCTGGGTTTCATCCCTGGTGATGCTCTGCCAGGCCTCTACTGCAACTGTCTTCAGTTCCTGCTTGTTCTTGGGGCATTTTCCCTTCCATTTTGTCTTCAGCAAGTGAAATGCATGCTCAATCGGATTCAGGTCAGGTGATTGACTTGGCCATTGCATAACATTCCACTTCTTTCCCTTAAAAAAAACTCTTTGGTTGCTTTTGCAGTATGCTTTGGGTCATTGTCCATCTGCACTGTGAAGCGGCGTCCAATGAGTTCTGAAGCATTTGGCTGAATAGGAGCAGATAATATTGCCGAAACACTTCAGAATTCATCCTGCTGCTTTTGTCAGCAGTCACATCATTAATAAATACAAGAGAACCAGTTCCATTGGCAGCCATACATGCCCACGCCATGACACTACCACCACCATGCTTCACTGATGAGGTGGTATGCTTAGGATCATGAGCAGTTCCTTTCCTTCTCCATACTCTTCTCTTCCCAACACTCTGGTACAAGTTGATCTTGGTCTCATCTGTCCATAGGATGTTGTTCCAGAACTGTGAAGGCTTTTTTAGATGTCGTTTGGCAAACTCTAATCTGGCCTTCCTGTTTTTGAGGCTCACCAATGGTTTACATCTTGTGGTGAACCCTCTGTATTCACTCTGGTGAAGTCTTCTCTTGATTGTTGACTTTGACACACATACACCTACCTCCTGGAGAGTGTTCTTGATCTGGCCAACTGTTGTGAAGGGTGTTTTTTTCACCAGGGAAAGAATTCTTCGGTCATCCACCACAGTTGTTTTCCGTGGTCTTCCGGGTCTTTTGGTGTTGCAGAGCTCACCGGTGCGTTCCTTCTTTTTAAGAATGTTCCAAACAGTTGTTTTGGCCACGCCTAATGTTTTTGCTATCTCTCTGATGGGTTTGTCTTGTTTTTTCAGCCTAATGATGGCTTGCTTCACTGATAGTGACAGCTCTATGGATCTCATCTTGAGAGTTGACAGCAACAGATTCCAAATGCAAATAGCACACTTGAAATGAACTCTGGACCTTTTATCTGCTCATTGTAATTGGGATAATGAGGGAATAACACACACCTGGCCATGGAACAGCTGAGAAGCCAATTGTTCCATTACTTTTGGTCCCTTAACAAGTGGGAGGCACATATGCAAACTGTTGTAATTCCTACACCGTTCACCTGATTTGGATGTAAATACTCTCAAATTAAAGCTGACAGTCTGCAGTTAAAGCACATCTTGTTCGTTTCATTTGAAATCCATTGTGGTGGTATATAGAGCCAAAAATGTTAGAATTGCATCGATGTCCCAATATTTATGGACCTGACTGTATAAATGTTGCAGGGAAGTATGTAGAAAAATGAATGCAGTTTCCCCTCCTTGACATTTGTTCTTTTATTATATAAACTCAAAAGTCTTGGCTTGACTTGAACGCCCCTCATATATTTAATGTTTATAAGGTTCTATCAAACATTAATTAATTGTTACATTTATCTCATATTTTAATTTAATTTGCCATTATTTAGCAATTTATATGTAGCACAGCAGTTGTGTTTGATTTGTATTTTATGGTGAGTGAATTCACCCTAGTACTTGCAGCTTAAATTCAGGGTTTGGTTTGACAAATTACATGTGGGTGTGAAATCGAGGTGTACAAAATTTTGGGAGGATTACTAACTATAATATAGATATAGAATTTGCATCTTGATTTTAAAAAGTGATGTTTCATTGCCAAACAGTTGGGTTTGTTTTGCATGCAAGTTAAGGCATAACTTCATTGATGGGTAATGTAAAACTGCTTTCCAGTGCATAATTATCACCAACCCAGCTAGGGCTTTCGACTGTTAATGTTGCTGTGCACACATTAACAAATGTACATATAAAAGTGTAGCAGAAGAAACAACTTATTTGTGATAGTGCCATCCCAGCTATTAACCTGTGAAACGTGATATAATGATATACAAACTATATATCAATATCACAAAGATATATACAATGATATACACAATAACATGATAAAAGTGAGTCCCAATTCCAAAAGAAATGTATCAAAAGTGCAAATGTGAATCTTCAGTTGCTAGATGACCAAACAATATCCGTGCAAACACGTGTCACCCCATTCCATGCTCAAATAAGATTTACCAGATATATTTGACCATCATGTTATAGAATGGTCAAAATCATCTCTCGAAATGATGATTATCAGCCAATCAAGCCTTCTCCATAGCATCCAAATGTGGCTCAAATGTTGTTTGCCTACTCCGTGTTGACCATCAATGCATGAGTTGTCAAGTATTAAAAGTGGCATGTGTATAAAATAAAAAAGCTTCCTATAGTGTGAAATCATCTAAAACAATTTATTGAGCCAAAAAAGTGCACTTACAAACTCCAAGATCAATACAGCGCTGTATAGTTAAAACCATCCACATGTTCCTACTTCCAAGATGGCCGCGAGTATACACGCATGTGTGGTGACGTACACCCAAGCTTCACTCAAAGCGTTTCATCATAAGTGACATCATCAGGGGTCAAAGGCTCACGTCTGCCACCACGCTGTCAAGGTCCTACCTTTTCCCAGAGGTTATGTTACTCCATGTGCTAGCATCCATCTTGGATTTCTGCTGAGCATGATGGGAATCTTTTATGCCTTCAGGTCTCTGAGGTCCATCCCCCAGAGGGGTGTGGCTGAGTACATATAAGCCTGGGATCTGCACATGCTCTTTGCACTTGTGTCTTGTGTCTTGGTCTTGCTACAGCTCTGTGTATACGCTCGTGACTCTTCTGGTATTCTGACACGGCTTGTGACTAAGACCATTCTCTGTGTTTCCCTTTGATCTGACCTTCCGTTGCTGAACCCGGCCCGTGACCTGTGATTCTCTGTCTACTGTTCTGTACTGTTTTGTCCCGTTGTTATTGACCCGGCTTGTCTGACTACGCTATTGTCATTCTCACCAGCTACATGCCATTGGCGGCGGCCATTACCGCAGCTGGGGTGTCTCGGGGGCCGCGACCTGGTCCCTGGTTGCGTCAAGTCCATCCCCACCATCAGGGGCCCTGGTGAAGGGCAGCCTGGGACTTAGACTCCGCGCCCTGAGGGACTTCAGTCTGTTGGTGGTGGTTGTCGTCAGCCAGTGCGTTACCCTGCCACTAGGCCTACCTGTCCGTTCCACAGCCCTGCCCTGACATACGCACTTAAATAGGGGAATTGCAATTACAGGACCAGCATTAATTGGTGGCGCTCACTCCATCACCACTGTTGCTATGAGACAACCTAATCAACATTGGCAAATAGATGTGATATAAATAGCACTCCGGTTGGAAATCGAAGGTACTGCAATAAAAATATATACAAATTAATAACAATACGTAATCAGGAACTGGCCCACACGGCCCCCTAGTGGTAAATAAATATAAATTTATTTGTAGCAATACATTGTCAAGACAGTATATAAATGGGCTCACACAGCCCCCTAATGGTAAATGTTAGAACCCCAAAAAATAAATATAGAATTATAGCCCTATTACCCCTAAAAAGGGGAAAAGAAAAATGGAGCACTAAAATTATCATGCAATGGAACGTTTTTCGTGAGAAAAAATTAACCAGTTATCTCTTCACTAGATCCATATAAAAAATACATTAAATCACTAGCGATTTAGAATTACATGACATAAACAAAAGGAAAAAAAAAAGGAAAATATACAAATTAATAAAAATTGCATAATATTATTATATTATACAGTATTTATAAAAGCGCCAATAGTTCGCTCAGCGCTGTACATTACAAAGGGGGACAGAACATGTGACAGAACAATAACAATACAATGCAAAACACGAGGGGATTGAGGGCCCTGCTCTTTCGAGCTTAAAAAAATCAAGTTTTATTGATAAAACAATTTATATCCCAATTAATGTTTAAGCCATACAGTACATATGTCTTTGGTTTTTCACACATTAACAAATGTTTATATTTGTAATTTAAGGTTAATTATTAATAGTCTTACAAATTCCAAAATCCTTATCTCTATGACCAAGCCTTGGTGGGCGGGGCGAAATGCATCAGGGGGCATGGCCAGCATGGTGGCTGACGTGATTCCTAAACATTGGAATCCTGGGGTCGGTTGAGAAGCGCCCAGTCCTTCACTTAATTATTAATAGTCTTACAAACTACAAAATCCTTACCTGTCACATCTATAATCTTACCAGTTAACTTTATATTTTTTTATTATATCAAAAATTTTATATATTGTAATGTTTCTTGTACTTACAGATTGGGAAGCGAGAATTGACAGTCATGGAAGGATATTTTATGTTGATCATGTAAATCGTACAACAACATGGCAGCGTCCTACAGCGCCTCCAGCTCCACAAATTCTGCAGAGGTCAAATTCTATTCAGCAGATGGAGCAGCTTAATAGACGGTGAGAATGTCTGGTCTTGATGAAAGAGGCCCTGGTCTGCTTCAGTAATAGTAGTAGTTTTACTTTGTTTTAGCATACACCATCGCAAAGTATTTGTGTAAACTCAGAACAATAGAACATAAACCGAAGTGCTTTGTCTGTGCATTGGGACTGTGTTGGCCAATGATGCCCAATGAATATGGTGTGAATGGGCCCTTATTAGATTAATTGAAGAGACATATGGCTTGCAAAATGAGGCTTACTTCCAAAAAATTCCTCAGCCCCCCCCCCCCCTTTTGCCATGGGCCCAAAGTGGTTATTGACCATTTTAGTGATGATTCCACCATTACTCTGTTGTTAAATTAGCTCTATAACAACACAAAACACAAATTACACTGTTCAACAAATTTTTATTTTTTGCCAGTTTTGGAAACAAAAGGATCCATTTCTTAATGAATTTCACATTCTGAGTTCAAATATAACAATGAAATTTGTCAATTGGCTCTAGTTTTTCTGTAAACGGAAAGTTTTCTACTATAGGCGTAATGACTACATAATGCACAATAATTATATAGATAGATGTCTTTCCACAAATATAAAGCAAGTGATATTGACTACATAACAAAGCCTAAATGGCATAATATATTGCATAGGATTACCAAGAAAAATTATAGCCATAAGCTAAGTTGAATCATTTTAATACTTAGGATTCTCACTAGTTTTGTCTTCAGTTTGTGTCAGTTTTGCTTCTCTTGGCTTTTCTCTTGTATTCGAGGAAAGGGCTATCTCTTACAACTGCACGTGACTACACGCTTCAGGTTCTTCCTCACTTGACTCAACCACGAAGGATTCTGGTGCTTTAGGAATTGGTAGCCCCTCTCCATGAGGAACTGGACGTATTGCCGATGGAATATTTGGATAGTGCAAAGATAACTTTTTCTTCTTATTTATCCCTTTTACAATTGGAGGCACCATACAAAAGTAACAATTACTAACATGATCTGTTGGCTCTCTCCAAGTCATTGGCACAGCGAAAGGCATAGATGCCTTTTTTCCATTCAACCATTGCTCCAGTGCCGTCCCACAAGAATTGCAGCATATATGTGGTGCCCAGCTCTTGTCCTGGTCTCCTATCTTGCAGCCAAAATACAAGTTGTAGGCTTTCTTAATCATTCCCGTTATCCTCCTTTTTTGTGAGATAAAAGTTATTTCACCGCAGATATAGCAGAAATTATCTGCTTTATTCACACAAGTTCGAGGCATTACTGAGTAGCCTATATAAGCATAAAACGAAATGTAAAGACGCTGTCGAACTACAATCAGCTACAGATACTGCAGCTTTTATGCAGTGAAGTGATGCAATTAAAGGCTAATATTGCATCATCTCAGTATACATGCAATTTTCTATTGGTCACCAGTATCAATTGCGCAATATGCAGCTGAAGTTGCATCATAATTTTGAATGGCTTACGTCATTAGATGGGTGAATATATCATGGAAACTAGCGCCAATCAACATTTTTTAGGGTCATTTTCGTTTTCAGCACCCCAAAATTATGTAAGATTAGCTAATTTTATGCCCAAAACTTTTTACCTGTTGAACAGTGTTATGTAAAGCTTACTTTTCTTGCAACAGAATGATAAAGCCATTACATCCTGTAAAAATACCACCAAATATTACTGCTTTTATTACTGATGTTATTAATGGATTATGTAATGCAGGATTAAGAAATAAAATATTGGTCAAATATTACCATTTTTAACTTATCGCACTAGGTAATTTGCTTGATTAATTAGGAACTCTGAGAATGATGTGAGCTTGATATTATGATCATACAAATATGTTATATGGTCCTACAAACCAGTCCATGCTAGCATCTTTTTGTTGCATAAATATCAGCAGCTCATTTTCCACACACCCAGACCATGGACTTGGTACCACAGTCATTGACTTCCACCCCCTTCTGCTTGCACATTATGCGCTTCTACTAGAATTACAATCACGGTCTCCCCTGCAATCACAGCCATTCATAGACCTGCCGATTATCCGCCCTGAATTTAAAGTGGCCTTTACCCAGCAATTTCGCATGACCCAGAAAAAATTATGGATAGCGCCACAGAAAAATATATATTAATTTAGTGAAAAAAACTAATTTCTAAAATATATAGAAAATATTATAAGCTGCGAAAGCTAACCTGAAAAGGTGCATATAATAATAATCAAAAAACAGGTTGCTCTCATATTATAAAGAATGTGAAATAAATATATCATATAATTAGTGTCCAAAAATAGTAAATATTATAAAGTCCAAACACCAATGTAATTTTGTGTCACGATATTATTCAAAAAACATCTCAGCGTCCAACAAAATTCACCGTGCACGAAATCCACCACCAGATAAATTAAATGAACTCACCAGAGCAATATGCTGATCAAATTATAAATCAGCACAAGCGCTTTCTGCTCTGGGAGCAATACTCTGCAGGAGAATGTACAGCACTGAAGACTCTATCCGTATACTGAGGGAGCAATGCTCTGCAGTGAATACTTGGCAATATGGATACACTTCCTTAATAGTCACCTCCTCCTCAGATGTTCAGACCAGAACTCGGGATATAAGAGAACAGAAGCTCATGGTGCAGTACCATTAAAAACCTTTTTATTTAAAAACTCATTGCACTTACAATTATCGGTGTCCTAGCCGACACCAGCAAACAAAGCGTAATCAATAACCAGTGAACAAACCCAGCCTCGTCCAGCATGTGCAGATGCTGACAGCTCGGGAATGTAATGATGTCACATCCACAGGCTCCGACCTACGCGTTTCGTCATTCGACGTCCTCCGTGGATTATGGATCGTTTAAACAGCACCCATGACTGATCACCTGTAACACACAACCCTAGCATAATGAACACCTGAAGTGGCAGTACCCTGGACTCACAAACTCCTAGACCCATGAATACTCCTATCAGCAAAACATCCCCTATGACTGGCAAACAGTCATGATCTACAGCTTTCCTGGGCTCACAACATCATCACCCACCCCTGGAGTCACACCTTCCTATATACATTTTTAGCAATCCTCTTTCCCTGTAACAGACAAGAATATGATCAGCAGTTGCATCCTGTTTCTAGCCTGACTCATCCATAGTCTCATTACCATGTGCATCAGCACTACACCACCCAAGTGGACTGATGAGCATCTGCATCTTGACTGACAAACATTTGTTTTTCTACATAAGACCAACATACACACTGAACCACATCCAGGGCTCTTACCATTACCCTGCCCTGATGCCGTGACTTCCCTCACTTAGTGTCCACCTTTGAATGATTGATGATTACTGTGATCCACACACATTTCCTAGGACTGATGATGGTGATGTGGGTGGTTGTAACCTTTAATGGAAGTTTTGGTATGATAATAGTTAGGCACTGAGGTGTTTTAAACATAATGGGCTGTAACAGGTGATATTTGCATGTTCTGACAAATTGATATGTACTGAAGGTGTCTTCTGACATTGCAACATTGTATGGGATTGCTGTGATACACATCGGTCACCAAGAGAAATATTGAGCATTTAATAAATGTTCCATCGTTTAGAAATGTGTTTAAAACAACAATAGTGAAACACTTAAATTTTCAAACATTTTTAGTGACATTTATTTTTTATTACTAATCTACATTCTCACTCTTCTCTGAACTGACAGACTTTTGTTAGTTATCATATAGTGAACATTATTTTATTTTAATAAACGTGTTGTAAGAGAACAATTAGCATTGTTCCTGAAAAGAGTGCAAGAATTACACCCATGCTTCTATCTAAAATGTAAAATGACAGTGTTCTTACTTACATTGTTAAGTGACATATAAAAGTTATTCAAGTTATTGTGTGAACTGATTTGTCTTCGGCATAAAGGAAAAACCAGCCTTACTGTTGCAGATAAAATCTATACCTTCTTTATCTTTAGTAAAGTTGTTGTTACTTGAATAGTCATAATTGACAAAGCGTGCAATACACTTTAAAAGCTTATTCATTAGGGGACACAGGATTCAGAGACACTTGGTTTATATTACTGCCTATAGAAGGATATGGACACTGGCAATAAAGAAAACAGTGACTACCGTTGTATAACCGCTCCCTCTCCCAGAATGCCTCAGCTTTTTCTACTGCCCTAAAAGGATGGATGTCTTTTCTTTGAAGTAGAAATAAAGGCAAAACTTATTTTTTCACTTCGGATAGAGTAAGGGAGGGTTAAAACCCTGTCAGGTTTTTTTTTTTGCCCTTCGCGTCCCATTGGGGAGATTTCCCTTCACTTCCCCTCCATAAAACAGGAAGAGAGAGGAAATCACTCCAAAGTGAGGGAATCCTGGGTTGTGCCAGTGTCACCAGAACTAGTATCCATATTGGAAGAGTTCCTTGTTATTACTATTTTGGTGTCAACCCAAAATTTGTCATTCTCTTTTACTTTCACTTTTGATTATAACGGTAAACAGCAAATGGAAGGGGTGAATCTCCCTAATGGGCACAGACAGCAAAAAAAATTGACAGGTGTTTTTCCTATCCCTATCTATCCAAACCTAAAACAATAAGTTTTGCCTTTAGTTATACTTTAAGGGAATTGTGTTTTATTTTTTCTTCAGTCAAGACTTAATCTACAAGGTGCTTTAGCTGGTCCAGGGGTGTAGAAATTATGTAAAAAAACTGCTTGTCCAATAGACTAAATCGGGGTCCCAATCTACTTGTCCTGATAAAAAAAAAAAAATAATTTTAACCAAAACCTTATTTAAATCTGAGGTGCTTTTAGGATCTGGGGCTTTTAAAAACAAAATGGTCTTTTTAGCGACTTAAACTATTAAGGTTTTTAACATTGTGCTGTTTATCTCCTCCTCACCTCCCTGCCTGTCTCCACCACTGCACCCGGGGACTAGTAGGGAGGGGAGAGACATTACAGTGTGAAAAGCAATGATTGGATGCTCATCAGGAAAGGGGCGTGTCGTTCTCTTTTAATCAGCAGAAGCTCATCTGCTGAGCAAGTAAATAAGGTGCCGGTCCCAATGAGAGCAAAAAAAAAATTTTATTCCTTCAGGTTACCCTTGCACATAAAAGCACTTGAGTGCTCAGTATTAGCACCTGCTGAGCAGCCAAATTGAGCCCCAGTGTCTGCGCCGTTAGGCCCTGTTCACACCTGGGTGTTTTGGGATTGCGGCAGAATCGCTGCAATTCTGCCTGCAAACTCAATACACAGTACAATTGTAAAACACAGCTTCAGGTGTCATTATTTTTTTACTGGTACCTAAAACACGGTGCGGTTTTGTTGTGATTGTTGCTCGATTTACTGCACAACAATTGCATCATGTGAAACTTGTCACTCAAAAAGGAGCAGTAGCTTCTTTTGCACGACAAGCTTTGTGAGATGCAATTTGAAGTGCAACGAAACCACACCACGCTTTAGGTGCCTTTGAAAATAATGGCACCTGAACCTGCGCTTTGCGATCGTGGGCAGAATTGCAGCAATTCTGCTGCAGTCCCAAAACGCCCAGGTGTGAATGGAGCTGCCCTGGTTCACACATATGCTAATTTGGATGCGTTTTCAGACTCACAGATGTGCATGACAGGCTAGATATTATGTGTTCCTATTGAAGTGGTTCACACAACTGCGATCCAAATGCATTGTGTTTTGAGTGCCATTATGAAAAAGGTCCTGCACGAGTTTGTAGCAGTGTGTTCCGGACTTGCAAGTGTTAGAGTGGAATTCAGAGATAGGTGTTCACACAGGAGTGCTATTGACAGGAGTTTTTGCATGAAAGTGAATGGAGGCCGTTTTTGCATTGAAGTGAATGGAGGGCATTTTTGCATTGAAGTCAATGCGGGGCGATTTTGCATTGAAGACAATGGGAGGCAATTTTGCATTGAAGTCCATGGGTGGCAGTTGTGGAGAGAGAGAAAGAGAGCTGACAAAATTGCACCTGTACTGAAATCGCACAAAAAACGGAAGGACATTGCGATTTCAGTACACATACAGTATGTGGGAACCCAGGGTAAAGAGGGTGCTTCCCTGCAGCAGGGTTAAATGTAAAAAAAAAAAACACCTGCCCTGTGCGTGGAACTGCATGTCCCGGGTGTCAGGCGATCTAAATCGTGCATCCCTGCAGTCTCTAGTTTTAGAGGTTTTACCTGGACCCCACTGCAATGAATGAGTGTGCGGTTTGCCTGGAATAGGTCCTTGTGGCAATTTCTAGACCTTGTACTATGTTTGTTCACTACAGATTGGTTTCCAGTTGCAGAGCCGTAGCACAGCCTCTGGTGCTACCAAGTCTCTGAAGACTCGTTTATTAGTTGTCCACATGGGTAGATCATCAGGAGCCACAACATTTAGGAGAACTGTTTAACTTTTTTTACCCTGTTTTCTGTTAGTTTTCTTGGAAGGATTTAAAATGCTGAAGAACTGAGTGTTGCATCAGTAGATCGTTCGTGCGCTCTCTGTTCCTGCCTTTCAGCATAAAGTAGCATCTTCCCAACATTGCTCTTTTTGCATGCTGGTTACTTCAAGCCATTTGAACCCTTTCTGCTTTCAGCATCCAGTTTGTGAGTACCCAAGGTTTTTTCCTGATGTTCTCAAAGTAGAACCAACGTCTTCAATTCAAAACATGCAACCAAGCAGGCATATTTCACCAGGTGCAAAGAAAAAAGGTGCAACACTCCCTGGGAGGAATCCCGACCTTTCTGCAATCATCCCTGGATCAATATTTGTCCTTGAGTATCATCAAGGGGGAAATTTCAGCCCTTGAAATCTTATTCTAAAAACTGCTAGCCTCCCATTCTTTGGATAAGACTTTAGTACAGGACTTCTCTAACGTAGCTGCCCATGTGCAACCACTTGTGATTCTATTGGAATTATATCTAGTTCTGTTATCTGCCCACATGTGTGTACAGTGTATTTACCAAACGTGTAGTGTTGCGTTCGGGAAATCACATCACCTGGGGAGGGAAACACCAATGCAGAGAAGCATCTGCATTTATATATGTACAGGGGCATAGAGCTATTCACTTCTGTGGCTGGCTGTATGCACCACATGCAACTTCCCAGCAGCAGGAAAATTGAGTGGTTTTTCTTACGCTTTGCATATTTTTTGCCTAATTATGTCCGTGTGCATAAGGCCTTTTTCACAAGGTTGTTTTTTGTCACCGTAATATCTGTTAGCCATGTGCCTTAGGTTAGTCTTGTAAAGAATCCTTTCTGGTCTTACATGAGGCTGAGGAAGTTCAAGACTCAGAATCTTCTTCCTTAGGCAGCCCATAGATGATACAGTTTTTTTTCTTCAACTAGCAGGATGAACAAAAAAACTAGCTCCATTTTCCCATTTATACACTTGATGTGGATGGGAGAATCCTCTCCACTGCGTTATCATATTCTGACAGCTGGGAGACCTGCGTATTCTGTCAGAATACACTGATCAGCATTGCAGGTTCGCAGTGCCGATAGAGTGAGGAGAATCCTTCAGGGGTCAGTAGATTAACTTCTGTACAACCTCAGTGCCCATATATGGATCGAAATTCATCTGGTTCCTGCTGAACCAGCCAAATTACAATCCATGTATGGCTGGCTTGCTAAAATACAGTAGTTTCAGCCTTTCACCTTACTTGTACATTGTTCATTCTCTGTGTCCAGCTTTACCGCACAGCCACTGCTTCCATTAAAAAGACTGTTTTTGTTATCCCTTAAAGGGGAACCAACTTTTCGTTCCGCCATTTCTTGTTGGCTTCGAGAGATTATTATTTAAGCTTTTGGTTTTACGGATCAGGTTCAAACTTTTTCCTTTTAACCACAAGCCTACAGGACACTTATACCCCCTTCCTTCCTAGGCCAATTTCCAGCTTTGAGCGCTGTCGCACTTTGAAGGACAATTGCGCAGTCATGCAACACTGTACCCATATGCAATTTTTTTAATTTCTTTTGTGACAGATAGAGCTTTCTTTTGGTGGTATTTAATCACCTCTGGGTTTTTTATTTTTTCTTAAACAAACCAAAAACCACTGAAAATTTTGAAAAAAAAAAGTTAGTTTTTATTATACAATTTTGTAAATAAGTGATTTTTCTCCTTCACTGATGTGCGCTAATGAGGCTGCAGTGATGGGCACTGATAGGCAGCACTGATGGACACTGATAGGTGGCACTGATGGGCACTGAGAGAGGAGGCACTGGTAGGTGGTACTGATGGGCATTGACAGGCATCACTGATGGGCACCGAAAGGCGGCACTGATATATGGCACTGTTAGATGGCACTGACTGGCACTGTTAGGCGGCACTGACTGGCACTGATAGGCGGCACTGGTTGGCAGCACTGATTGGCATTGATAGGTGGCACTGACTGGCACTGATGGGTGACACTGAAAGGCAGCTCAGATGGGCACTGATATGTGGCATTGATGTGGCACTGATAAACACTGGCACGAGGCACTGATGGACACTGACAGGTGGCACTGCTGGAGCTACACTGATCATCAGGGCACAGTGATCATCAGTGCTCTGATAATCAGTGTACATGTCATCTCCGTGGAAAGCCGATTACCGGCTTTCCTCTCCATGCTGACAGCTCGAGAGGAGAGAAATGCCGATAACCGGCATTTCTCTGTTTACATGTGATCAGCTGTGATTGGACTGAGTCGTCATCTTTGGCTCTTTCTGTGATCGGTGATCTGCTGTGTCCGAGGGACACAGCGCACCGCCGATCGCCGCGTTGCACGCTCCCTGAGCCGCGCATGTGCGGTGAGAATGAGAGGACGTCATATGATGTCCTCCCAGAATGAGAGAACCACCTTGCGTCTGTCATATTACTATATGGCGGGTGGGAGGTGGTTAAAGATCAACCTGCAAGAACTGTGTGCCTCTTGAGCTATAAGGCAGCAAGCAACCTTTTTCCAGATTTGCATGACTGCCACCTGGTCTTCTGTTTATGTGTTTTTCCAAGTTGATGTTTAGGCCTCATGTGATGCCATCTTCAGGCTTGGGGTAGCAGGTACTCATTGTGTTATACCCTCCTTCTATAATCCAGTTGTGTTTGAATTCTGTGTCCCTTAACGAACTCCAAGAAATGGATTTTACAGTAAGCACAAAAATCCAGCTTTTTTCTATGTATGTAAGTCATGTGCAATTAATTGAGTTTATCTTTGCTTTTGAAAATTTCCAATAATAGGTATCAAAGCATCCGAAGAACAATGACAAGTGATCAGCCAGATGAGGCGGCAAATCCAGTTGATGCAGTGGTACCAGCTGAGGATGTTGATTATCATCATTCAAATGCAGGTTTGTCATATCATTGTAATATTCTTTTGTTTCATCTAGTAGTAGTTCCTGAGATCAAGGACAGGATTATGTAACTAGAACAAGGTAGTTACAAAACTATCACACCTTCCATCCTGTTCTTGAACATCTAACCATTCCGTGGTAATTGGATTAAGCTGTCTTTGCTACCTTGTTGATATAAATGCTGGGGTATCTTCTTGACCCTCAATGGAACTAAAGAAGTTGCTATGCAAAGCTACCAAACGTCTTCAACGTTACAGCACAGGTCCACCTGAATGTGACTTGCTTCTACTAGCTATACCATGACCTAGATAAATGAGAACCTTCACACAAATATTTTGTTTACCTTCCTTTAAATATCTAATATGCTAGTAAAAGCAATGTTGCCATCAATAGCGATAGTGCTGACTAAATATGTTTTAATGTGCTAGGTCAGTACAAGGCTGGGCTAATATTAGGCAAAGGTAATGGGCCAGAGGCTAATGTGCTAGGTGCTTAAAACTATCATTAAAGTGTAGCTATGGTCAAAATATACAATCATATATTCATTTCCACACTTTATTTCGATTACTTCTAGCCTACTCTTATTTATCTGATTGATCTTGTAAATATAGTATGCAAAGATTTCCACACATTTCATTCCTTGAATTGTGTGGCACATATTCACTATGGCCTGTGTGTAGGCACTGCTGTATCACACATTTCACAGAGCCTGCCTTCTGAACTGTGAAGGAGTTTCAAGAGGCACAGGGGTCAGTGCTTGCAGGCCTTAAGGAAGTTGTGGAATCAGATAGCTAGCAGACAGGCAGCAATCACAACAAGAAAGGAGGTTTTTCAAGTAAGTTTAAATTGAAATTTCAAAAATAACAATTGTATTGCTATTCCAATGTCAGTGTTATAAAATGTAAGTGTATGTTGTCACCATAGATTTCCTTTCATTTTGTTACAGTTATGTTTCCTATAAGACAAAATCCATGTAATATTTTCCATTCTGTGGAGTAATATTTAGCAGCATTCACCTATTTCCCAAACAGTTATTTGTTTTGAATTGCTTTGTAGCTGTCAAAGTACAGGTCCATTTAAAAAAAAGATAATGCATGAAAGAAATTGAAAAAGAGAAGCTTTAAAGTGGTTGTAAAGGCTGAAGGTTTTTTTAACCTTAAAGCATTTTCTCCATTAGGGTAAAAAACCTTCAGTATGCATAGCCCCCTTATATTTACCTGAGCTCGATCTGAATCCAGCACTGTGCTCAAGAGACTCTCTCGGGTCTCTCCCTCCTCATTGGCTCAGACACAACAGTGGGATTCATTGGCTTCCGCTGTTGTCAATAATAGCCAGTGAGGAGGGAAAGGGCTGAGATGCTCTCTGTGTGTCTATAGACACACAGAGCCAGCTCAGTTTCAAGCCTGCACGAGTGCCTCCATAGCAAGCGGGCCGCTATAGTGGCCTCTGGGCGGATGGGAGGATCCAGGAGCGTCGGCGGGGGACCCCAGAAGGAGCATCAGGGCTGCCCTGTGCAAAACCATTACACAAAGCTGGTAAGTATAACATGTTTGTTTTTATTTTAAAAATCAAACCTTTACAAACACTTTAACATTTTTGACTTTGCTGACTTGATAATCATGATTTGATTTTAGACTTCCACAGAGAGAATGCACTTCCTCATTCTACCTCAAGGTCGAGGCTCAGTCTGCTTCTTCACTCTCCCCCAGTGAAATTCCTCACTAGTCCTGAGTTCTTCACAGTTTTGCATTCAAACCCTGTAAGTAGTAACCATTTCTAAATAAATATATCACAAGCACTTAATTCACCAAAGGATAAAGGGTAACCTAGTAGTTTTCTGAGACTATAATAGATACATGACACAAGAATTAATACATACACAACATAATTTACTATGTAAATTTATCATTAAGGTGTATGTAGACCCTAACAATCAACTCCCATTTGTTTCCTTTTGGATTTCTAAATATACCACTGAAAGCATTTTGTTACATCTGTTTAATACATTAAAAAGTACCTGTTGATCTTGTCAGAAGTTGTAGCTGCTCTGTGTTCTATCAAAACTTCCTGTTTTATGTCGAGGAGCCTGAAAAGCCTTCCCCGTTCTTAACATGGAACTAATGGCTATGTTGTGGAGATGAGCAGAAAAGTCAAATTTAAAAGTTTACCAAAAAAAAAAAAACAGCTAGGCAGGGCTGACACCAGTCAGTCCATGAAAATGCTGTGTGTTTTCAGCTCACACCAGGAATTAGAAGTGGAATTAATTTCTGACAGACCAGTATGTATTTTTCTATGGTCTTTAAATGTATTAGACAGAAAAATGTGCATGTACTGTATTGCAGAGATGTCATGCAACTTCTTTTCTTCATCCTGACATACACTTTCAAAAGCTTTTTTTGTTTTACTTGAAGTAAATACAGTTAAAATGTAAACGTGGTTTTGAAGATAGGATGCCTGTTTTGCCTGTTTCATTGTGTACAAATTGGCTGCTGCAGTTCATAAATCTGCCTGAAATGGAGTTTTATAGTTTTACGTTGTGTTATATTTCATTAGATACCATAGAAAATGCTTCCTATAAAGGATGACAGTGAAAAGGGTAGAGTGTTCTAAAGATTTTTTTTTTTACTGAATGAGGCATATTAACCAAGCATTGTGCATTTTCAGATGTGGAGGAATACGTAGTAAGCCTGGGCAGAGAAGGCAATAAAATTAAAATGCACCCCTACCACACACACTGTACACTGTCACCAGGGGGCTTGTGCCAGTTATAAAGTTAAGTGAATAAAAACTTTTTTTCAAGCGATCTGCTGATACTGTGTTCCCCTGCCACAGCTCCAAGATGACATTGGAACAGGAGGCTATAGAGTCTTCACCACTTTCTCCCCACCACCAGCTCTCCAGAACATAACCATTCCTTAGGGAGGGAACAACACATCAGCACTGGAAGATAAACATAATTTCCTGGGTTTTAAATGTGCAGTTAAAATATACATTGCACTGCTCACCACTAAACATGATTTTGAAAGTATGTTCTTATGCTTAGAGAAGACGCACGTACAGAACATGGCCAACTTCAGCTGCAAATTACAATGTTTCCATCAACATCTGGGTGCTGCTAGGACAACCCTTATCTCCAATACCACAGCAATCATTTAACTGCTGGAGGTGGTCTTGGTTCAACACCAGTATATCTAAATAATATGCACACATTTAGATGACACTGAGGATCGTTATTATTGCTATAATGCTAGATTTCAGGGCATACCTGAGGCAACAGGCCTCACTGGGTCACATCTGATGGCTATTCGTTAGAATTTACCATGTACTTGGCCCCCTTGTCTCACTTACGAAGTACATTGACACCACAGGGTGAGTATACTGTGACTGCCCTAGGGGTGTGAATAATTTAGTAACCTACTCTCATGTGGCTCCCAGCAGACTTCCTCTATTCTTTAGATCATTCTTTAGCCCCAGTTAATTTGCTACTCACAAACATCATGTCTCTTCTCATCCTTTTAACTATATTCTAATCCTCCATGTAAGCCATATTCAGTGTAATTACTGCTGAAGGCAACCCCTGCATAGTCTCCCAATTCATTAGCTTCCTTTTGCCCTTATCTTTTCAGTCCACTTAATAATTCTACTGCCCTATATGGTGTATCTTTTAAACCTGGACCATGAACAATGGACCTGTTGTGGTTGACTGGTATCCAGGTAGAGATTCCTTCATTACCTCCTCACTATTCTGCCTATCCTCCTATTATTATTATTATACAGGATTTATATAGAGCCAACAGTTTGTGCAGCACTTTACAAAATGAAGGTGGATATTACAGTTACAATAAAATTTGGTACAAGAGGAAACAGAGGGCCCTGCTTGTTACTATCTGCTCTGTTTTCATTTATTTTATTGTTGCTATTTTGTGAGCTGATGGCTTTGTAGCCAATGGCATTTTTATCTCTTACCCCCCAGAAGGACTTAGGCACAAAGTCCCAATTTTATAGCACCCTGTCTCTGATTATTGGATAGTCGTCCTGTTATCCTTTGGCAAGCCACAGATGCTGGGAAAGCAGGATGCATGGGTGAGGGGAGCTATCTCTGCCAGAAAAACACAATGATCTCATAATAGAAATCCAACATGCTGGCTGAACTCAGATCGATCTATGGATGCTAGTTCAGGGTTCAAGGGGTTAAAGCAGGCGGCAAGAAGGTGATACAACGCCTCCTCACTGCCTGTCAAATGCAATCTGAACTTGGATTGCTCTTCAGAGACCAAAGCATGTGTGAATAAGCACCAAAAAAGTCATACATAGCCTTCCATATAGCTAGCACCACTCTCCTTTCCTTGGCTGCTTCAGCTATTGAACACTTAGCAATACCAGTTACTGCTAAAGAATTCAAGCATGCAGTTTGCGCTTTGCCCTGGGCAAATGGGTTTATGGGCACCTGATGCCTCAATGTTTTTTGGGCACCACAGCCTTCATGCCAATATTGGAAACCACCTTTAATTACATTTCTCCTGAATGCTCATTTACAGACCAGCTCCAAGAAGTCAGATTTACACTTATCCCCAAATCAGCCAAAGATTGGACTGTATGTGCCAGCTTTAGACCTTTTTCTCTTATGATTATGGATTTGAAAATTCATGCTAAAGCAATAGATAATGGACTTAAAATTTATATCCACCCCACCCCATATCATTCCTAGGGAATAGGTTAGTGTTTTACATAACAAGTAGGTTTGTACCTAATCAGGTTGATTTTGTACCCAACAGTAATAATACGCCCTTGACACTTTGTAAACTTGCCCAAACTCAGGGTATCCCTCTTTGCCTCCTGTCTTTAGACACAGAAAAAGGCATATTGGTCATTTCTATATGCTGCATTGATGCAGATGGGGTTCCCAATGATTCTGGTGCAAAAAATCATTGCCCTCTATCACCATCCATCAGCTCAAATAGGAGTCAATGGCATGCTTTCCCCTCCAGTACTAAACCACAGTGGTGCCTGACAGGGATGTCCACTTTCAACCTACTTGTTTATACTAACAATGGAGCATCTCAACAATATCACTGGTCTTCAATAAAGACTCCATAGATTGATACATCTGTGAAAATTTTTTGACAAAATCTCTCAATGTGTAAATTCACTTCTGAGGCCAGAGAATTCTCCAGTAGACCTTCAAACTTAGACATTCTAACAGATAAAGTTAGTTTAGATATAAATGGTTTGTTAGAATCTGGGGGATTCAGAAGATAAAAAATTTATATCTATCATGTGCCAAGAACAGTTTGTTTTTGTTTTTTTTTATTTTTCTCTTCTCCCTCCCTACTCCACCCAGAGTGATGAGCTCATCTCTCATTGGTTTGCTTCTTCTTTCCCTGGTCAGTCACAGGGTGGGGGGTGTGGAAGAGACCTGTACCTATTACTGAACTGCAGGTCTGCAGCTCTGCAAGATGGGTTGTGCTGTGTTGCAGAGCTGTGTAAATCTCAGGACTGGACAGAAAGAATAACAAATACTTTGGTAAAACAGCTCTCATATATGTACTTCATCTGTGTATTTCGCTTTGTGCCTGGGGTTCAGATTTAAGTAAACTGATTTACAGTTTTGTCAAAAGGTAGTTATACCTAATTATTTTGCTTGTGTTTGTCTTCATTGTAAGCATAAATGCTGTGGTACGTACCTAATCAATGTCCTGCAAAACACAGCATAGCCGGATTGGTCATTTGGCTATGCATCCTGGAAGGAAATACATTATATTTTGCCACTGTCTGCGCTATGTTAATAAACTATTAATTATTATCTTTTTTTAGAGTGCCTATCGCATGTTTACAAATAATACTTGTTTGAAGCATATGATCACCAAAGTTCGGAGAGATGCACACCATTTTGAACGTTACCAACATAATCGGGATCTTGTAGGATTTTTGAATTTATTTGCCAATAAGCAAGTTGAGTTACCAAGAGGCTGGGAAATGAAACATGATCATCAAAGCAAGGTATTAATGGTTTTGATATAGTGTGAAATTGTGATAAACGTATCCTTGAATAGGAAACTTAAGATGGCATTTAAGTCATACCATTTGTTACAACCGACAGTTTTTGAGTTGGGAATAGCAAAATAAAGCCTTCTTAGATCAGAAAGTATTCATTTGTCTTGTTCAATCACATATCTCTTAAATAAGACAACTCAACTCAGGACAGTAGGTGGAGCCATGCAAATTTTTCCTTTTTGAGATGTGTGATGGAATAAGATGTGTGAACACCTCCTGTTCTAAGTAGGTTTACTGTACTATGCGCTGATTCAGTTGGAGAGCTTTTTAAATCCTTCAGTCCCTTTTCATTGTAACCTGTATGCCCATATGGTCTCCTACTCTATAGAAGCCCTACTTCATAGAAGCAATGGTTTCCTTACACTGCACTGATGTTACCAAAAAGCCTGAAACAGCCAGGGCAGCCATCGGGGGGGAGGGGAAGCCTATACACAGGTAGGGGCCCGGGTGTCCCTTGAGGCCTGGTCACCAGGGTTGCCATCTATCCAGTTTTGACCTAGACAATCCAGTTTTGACCCGGACAGTCCGGGTTTTAACACCTATGTCCAGGTTTCAGTCCAGGGGAAGGAGAAGCTGACATGAGGGGGGTTTCTCCGATCTATTGGAGGTCTCTGAGGGGTGGGGGGTGTTAATATAGAGGGACCCTGACCTAATTGGTTCTGTAAGGGGGGGTGCTGATATAAGGTAACTCTGAGCTAATGGGGGTCTCGGGAGGGGGGGTGCTGGTTGGTGACCAACTATTAGATCAGCAGTCAGCACCATTTCACCCCTGAGAGACCCCCCCCCCATTAAATCAGAGTCCTTTTATATCAGCACACCCCTTAGAGCCCCCCCATTAAATCAGAGAGCCCATATATCAGCACCCCCCTTCCTTAGAGACCAACTATTGGTCTCTAAGGGGGAGTCACTTATAAATGGGGACTCTGATTTAATGGCAGGGGGTGTCTTTAAGGTGGGAGGGTGCTGATATAAAGGGACGCTGATCTAAGGGGGGTCTCAATGGGGGCCCCTGTATTATGAAGGAGTGGAGTGACACCTAGTGTTGCCACCTGTCTGAGATTCACCTAGACAGTCCAGGTTTTGAGTAATGTGTTCAGGGTACAGTCGGCCTGTCTCCTTGCTATATGGGGATGTGTCTTTGCTGGATTGGGATGTATCTTTGCTGGATTGGGATTTATCTTTGCTGGATTGGGATGTGTCTTTGCTGGATTGGGATGTCTCTTTGCTGGATTGGGATGTCTCTTTGCTGGATTGGGATGTCTCTTAGCTGAATTGGGCCATCTCCTTGCTGAATATATGGGGCTGTCTATTTGCTGGATTGGGATGTCTCCTTGCTGGATTGGGCCATCTCCTTGCTGGATTTATGGGAATATCTATTTGCTGGATTGAGATGTCTCTTTACTGCATTGGGCCATCTCTTTGCTGAATATATGAGACTTTTTCTTTACTGCATTAGGCCATCTCTTTGCTAAATATATGGGGATGTCTCCTTGCTGGATTGGGTTGTTTCTTTGCTAGATTGTGCCATCTCTTTGTTGAATATATGAGGCTGTCTCTTAACTGCATTAGGCCATCTCTTTGCTGAATATATGGGGATGTCTCTTTGCTGAATTGGGATGTCCCTTTTCTGGATTGGGCCATCTCCTTGCTGAATATATGTGGATGTCTCTATGCTGGATTGGACTGATTCTTTACTGCATTGGGCCATCTATTTGCTGAATATATGGAGATATATATTTGATGGATTGGGCTGTCTCTTTGCTGAATATATGGAGATGTCTCTTTGCTGGATTGAGATGTCTCTTTGCTGTATTGGGATGTCTCTTTGCTGAATATATATGGATGTCTCTTTGTTGAATTGGGCTGTATCTTTGGTGCACTGGGATGTCTCTTTGCTGGATTGGGATGTCTCTTTTCTGGATTGGGCCATCCCCTTGCTGAATAATTGGGGATGTCTTTTTGCTGGATTGGGCTGACTTTTTACTGCATTGGGCCATCTATATGCTGAATATATGGGGATGTATCTTTGCTGGATTGGGATGTCTGTTTACTGAATATATGGAGATGTCTCTTTGCTGGATTAGGATGTCTCTTTGCTGGTTTAGGCAATTTCCTTCTGGAATATATGGAGATGTCTCTCTGCTGGAATGGGATGATGTTTTACTGCATTAGGCCACTTCTTTGCTGAATATATGTGGCTGTCTCTTTACAGCATGTGGCTGTCTCTTTGCTGGATTGGGATGTCTATTTGCTGGATTGGGCCATTTTCTTGCTGAATATAAGAATGTGTTTCTTTGCTGCATTGGGCTGACTCTTTACTGCATTGGGCCGACTCTTTACTGCATTGGGCCATCTTATTTGCTGAATATATGGGGATGTCTCTTTGCTGGATTGGGATGTCTCTTTGCTTAATTTATGAGGCTGTCTCTTTGCTGAATTGAGACATCTTGCTTAATATATGGGGTTGTCTCTTTGCTGGATTGGACTTGCTGTTTGTTGCAGTGGGCCATCTCTTGACTGAAAATATATATGGGGATGTCTCTTTGCTGGATTGGGATGTATCTTTGCTGAATATATGGCACTGTGTCTTTACTGCATTGGCCCATCTCTTTGCTGATTATATGTGGATGTTTCTTTGCTTGATTGCAATATCTCTTTGCTGACTATATGGGGATATCCCTTTGCTGGACTGGGATGTGTCTGCTGAATATATGGAGATTTCTCTTTGCTGCTCTTTGGCAAGAATATAAATTCCTTACTGTTAAATCTTGAACTAATGACTTGGAATACACTTTTCTTTTTCATATATTAAGTTGTAAGAGTGTTAACATAAAAGTGGGTGTACCATAGGATTTGGTAGGACGGCCAGTAGGCGGGCCCTTGGGAATGTTTGTGATCAGGCCCAAGGAGGCCCAGGCCTAAAGCTGTGTAAGGGGGCTCTAAAATTTCTGATGGCTGCCCTGGAAACAGCTGTATAAAGTTTGGAATATCTGGACTGTTAGAATATGTTTGCACTATACTCCAGTGGTTCTGAGTGTGCTGTTTGTGGTGTAAAAGAATGATTCAGAAGCCTTTACTTTTGCTATGCACTGATTTGGTTGGAGGGCTTATTGATTCATTTCTCACCATAACCTGTATGGTTATACTGTACATTTTGAGTTTGGAATATATGGTAACACACCAGACCTTTTGCTTTTAACAGCAGCTAATAATACAATACCACTGCTTTATCAAAAGATATAGCAATTTTCTCACTAGATGCCTACTACATTTAATGGATCTATCTTTTAGGGGATGGGGGTTGCAATGATGATACAGTCACAGGTAGGGAACACAAAGTACAAAACACAGGTTTGAAAGGGTTATTATACCAGGGTCAGATTTCTTTCATACCAAATCTTAAAAACAGACTTAAATACTGCACTAAATTTACACCCACTTATGCACCCATTGAAGACATACATACACACACATATATATATATATATATATATATATATATATATATATATATATATATATATATTCTAAAAAGCTCAATAAATTCCATAACTTCAAGCAATTAGTGTCAAAGCTCTGTGGCCTTATTATAGAGTAATAACCAGGGTAAACAAAGCAGGGTGTTTGCAAAATTCTATGGATGATGCTCAGACTTACGTGAATTGTATTAATTGAAAACAGCGCCTTAGCTGTCTTACACTGAGGAACAGTCAAGCTGACATTTTCTTGTCCGCAGTATATAGCTGCAATCCTTCCGTGGCTGTATGCAGAGCACTTTCTCTCTTCTTTTTTTTTTTTTAATTGAAACCACGTTTGTGCCCCTCTACTCTCTCCTTACCATCTAGTCCTATAGGAAAGCAGAGGGAGGCTTGGAACTGTAACACAGACACCTTAAGAAGCTGATGGATTGGTGGGCCCTCCCCTCTGTCCCCAGTAGTGACCCGCCCTAACTGGACTCTGCAACTAATCAACACAACAGAGGTGGTACAAAAAGAATTTATTTTATACCAGAACAAGCCCTAAAAGGAAAGTACTGGTTGAACAGATTCAACAATAGTAGGATTAACCTCATATAAAATACTGGAACTGACCACTATTTTCAACTTAGACATTTTTATACTAAGACTCCTCTGTTCCTAACCTTCTCTGTACAGACAAACACCATTTAAAACGTATGTAAGTCCCGCCCGCATTCGTCAGGCCTTATATCCCTGTTGTATTCTTTTGTAGTTTTCCTTAAGAAACCACCAGGTCCTATCAACAACGGGAAAGTGAGTTGTGACTCAGGCTTCAATGAAATGCTCTAAAAATGTTCTGATATTCAAGAATGCTTACAAGATTTTATACTGGTTGTTTTGAATACCAACTAGCTAGCCCACTTTCTCCCAAAATATCCTCCCACATGCTTCCGTGGATGTCCCCAGGAAGGGGACATATTCAAAAATGAGCAAATTTATGAATTCGGGTCCACAATTTGATTCACACATTCTTCCACTCTAACATTCAGAAAAATCCTTTTAAAGCACTACTTCACAACTCTCTTTCATTCTGAACGTGTGCTAGCCCTGCACACCTTTACAACTCACTATTGCTAGGGCCTGGAAATCCTCTGTCCTCAGTTTTGAGGCAGTAAAGAACTGAGTGAATGATATAATGATTAACGAAAAAGATGCCGGTCGCCTCGCCTGGGGACCCGATGCCGGTCGCCCCGCCCGGGGGCTCGATGCCTGTCGCCCCGCCCGGGGGCCCGGTGCCTGTCGCCCCGCCCGGGGCCCGGTGCCTGCTGCTCCGCCCGGGGGCCCGGTGCCTGCTGCTCCGCCCGGGGGCCCGCTGCCTGCTGCTCCGCCCGGGGGCCCGCTGCCTGCTGCTCCGCCGGGTGGCTCGGTGCCTGCTGCTCCGCCTGGTAATCCGATGTGCCTCTGCCCGGAGTCCTGCCCGATGTGCCTCTGCCCGGAGTCCTGCCCGATGTGCCTCTGCCCGATGTGCCTCTGCCCGGAGTCCAGCCCGATGTGCCTCTGCCCGGAGTCCAGCCCGACGTGCCTCTGCCCGGAGTCCAGCCCGACGTGCCTCTGCCCGGAGTCCAGCCCGACGTGCCTCTGCCCGGAGTCCAGCCCGACGTGCCTCTGCCCGGAGTCCAGCCCGACGTGCCTCTGCCCGGAGTCCAGCCCGATGTGCCTCTGCCCGATGTGCCTCTGCCCGGAGTCCTGCCCGGAGTCTAGCCCGATGTGCCTCTGCCCAGTGTGCCTCTGCCCGATGTGCCTCTGCCCGGAGTCCAGCCCGATGTGCCTCTGCCCGATGTGCCTCTGCCCAGTGTGCCTCTGCCCGATGTGCCTCTGCCCGGAGTCCTGCCCGATGTGCCTCTGCCCGGAGTCCAGCCCGATGTGCCTCTGCCCAGTGTGCCTCTGCCCGATGTGCCTCTGCCCGGAGTCCAGCCCGATGTGCCTCTGCCCGATGTGCCTCTGCCCAGTGTGCCTCTGCCCGATGTGCCTCTGCCCGGTGTGCCGCTGCCCGGAGTCCTGCCCGGTGTGCCAGTCTTTGATATCCCCCGCCAGTTACCAGACCCGGGCGGTGGAACATTTTGCCCAGCTAGGACTGTTTGGAGCGTCCTGAGGCCGCTCCTTGAGGGGGGGGTACTGTCAGGAATGGACTGGCCAGCAATGGTGGGACTCACCTGCCTTTTGATCTGCAGTACCAGGGCTGGCCAGCGGGTGCTCCCAGCAATCAGAGACTCAACCTTTCAGCCAGCTAACACCTGGAACTGATTATACTGGTGTATTTAAGGGATGGCCAGACCTGCAGACTCTGCCTTGGTGTTGTGTTTGTCCTGGGCCCTGTATCTGTCCTGCATCCTGTTTCTGTTCCTTTGCTGACCCTGCCTGATCTGAACCGCTGCTGACTTCTCCTGCTCTGATCCCGGCTCGCTCCTGACCATCCCTCTGCCTGACCCTCTGTACCACGCTGCTTGCTACCTGTTCTGATCCCTGGCTTGTGACCCTGACCATCCCTCTGCCTGACCCCTCTGTACCACGCTGCTTGCTACCTGCTGAACCTGGTCTGTGACCCCCGACCAATCTCCGCTTGCTCCCCCTGTACCTACCTGCCCTATTGATATTGACCCGGCCTGCCTGACGACGCTTGCTTGTATGTACTGTTATCTGTGGGTGGTTGGTTTGGTTTGCTTGCACTGTATTATGTTTTAGTATTGCACTGCGTTTATGTTTGTATGGTTAGTGTTAATAAATTATATTGTTTATCACATATCTGAAGTCTGCGTTTCCCTGTGTCAGTCACACACCTCTGGTCATACCCCGGAGCCCTGACAAACTCCCTCCTCATTGGCCTACCTCATCGCAAGCTATCCCCTCTTCAGTCTATCATGAATGCTGGTGCCAGACTCATACACCTTACTAACCGCTCCGTATATGCCACCCCTTTCTGCCAATCCCTCCACGTAGACGTGGTCGAGACCTGCTGAAGTTCAAACCGAGCATCAGAATGGGGAAGAAAGAGAATTTAAGTGACTTTGAATGTGACATGGTTGATGGTGCCAGACAGGCTGGTCTAAATATTTCAGAAACTGCTGATCTAATAGGATTTTCACGCACAACCATCTCTAGGGTTTACAGACAATGGTCAGAAAAAGAGAAAATATCCAGAGAGCAGCAGTTGTGTGGACAAAAATGCCTTGTTGATTTAAGAAGTCAGAAGAGAATGGGCAGACTGGTTGCTGCGACATTCAGATGGTAGAGTCAGAATATGGCGTAAACAACATGAAAGCATGGATCCATCCTGCCTTGTATCAATGGTTCAGGCTGGTGGTGGTGGTGGTGTAATGGTGTGGGGGATATTTTCTTGGCACTAGCAAGGTGTACCTAATAAAGTGGCCATTGAATGTATATATCTGTGCTAACTTTGTAATCCGTAACGCTTAAAGGACAGGATAGCAAAATGTTTGATAAAAAAAACAGCTGTGAATTAGAAAGTACATACAAAAGGTAGGCCTAACTCTTCAATATTATTATTATTATTATTATACAGTATTTATAAAGCGCCAATAGTTCGCTCAGCGCTGTACATTACAAAGGGGGACAGAACATGTGACAGAACAATACCAATACAATGCAAAACATGAGGGGATTGAGGGCCCTGCTCTTTCGAGCTTACAATATGCATATAAGCTTTCTGAAACCCAACAGCAAGAATAATTAGTTGAAGCCATATTAGTCATGGCTTGTCTCTTGGGAGATAAATAAATGGATGTATGTAACTTTGGCATCTCTAGGTGTATTTTTCCTTCTAGCACTGAACATCACATACTCTACATGCTGTTTGACCAGCACAATCTAGTGGCTGAACTGGAGATTCACATCTCTGGTGAAGCAAGGGATACCAGGTTCCCTAAGTCTTTGTATGACTCAGAGCTGTCTGCATAGAGGCGGTGAGGTAGCCACACAGGCATGCTGCATTTGTGAACAGTTTAAACATAGGGACAGTTAAGATATAAACACTGATTCACAGAATTCTTCTTTAATTGCATGCAATTGTTGTATGTGTAACTAAACATGTACATGTATACATGCATTCCATATTTCTTTTTGTATCTAATTATTGTTTACTGGATTTTTTACAGCCCTTCTTTGTTGATCACAATTCTAGAAGCACTACATTTATTGACCCACGTCTTCCATTACAAAGCAGCAGACCAACTAGTGCACTATTACATCGGCAGCACTTAACAAGGCAACGCAGCCACAGTGCTGGGGAGGTTAGTACAAACTTTACTCTGCAACACTGGATCCACTGCAGCTCATGAATAATTGAAAGTATTCTAGCGGCTGACGCTCACAACAAATGTTAAAATCTTACTGCACTATCTCCTTTCGATCCATCAACATGTTTATATTACAAGGACCTGGCAGATTGAATGGATGGTTGTGATGGTTCTTCATATTATGTAGCTTTGATAAATCTAAAGCAGTGTATGCTCAGATTGTAAGGTGTATGGTTAGCTTAAGACCTAGTATTTACATGCTTCAGCTTGTAAATGCTAATCAAAATGTGAACAGCTTTCTCGAGCAGGAACTTAAATGACAAACAGTACTGCTCATCATAAAAACAAATAATACAATAAATACAAAGCACATCCAAAAATGATTCAGTATGTCCCATAAAAAAGTTTTTCCTTAACCACTTTGGAAGGTTTTACCCCCTTCATGACCAATTTTTTTGCTATTTGGCACTGTGCTAATTTAACGGGTAATTACGCTGTCATGCAATGCTGTGGGAAAAAAAAAACTACCGGTATATTTTTTTCACTTTCTGATATAAAACATATCCAACCCCAACCCCCCCCCCCAAAAAAAAAAATCGAATTTGTTCATAAATTTAGACCAAATATATACTGCCACATGTCTTTGGTAACAAAAAATCCCAATAAGTGTATATTGATTGGTTTGTGTGAAAGTTATAATGTCTGCAAACTGTAGTTTATACACTGGAATTTTTTTTGTCATACTAGTAATGGCGGTGATCAGCTACTTATAGTGGGACTGTTATAGTGTGGAGGGCAATCTGACACTAACTGATACTGGGTGGGAACTGACACTGACATCATCAGTGACCCTAATACAGTGATCAGTGATGATACTATACACTGTCTCTGTTCTAATGGTAGTGGCTGGGAAGGGGTTAATATCTCAAGGTAATCAAGCAGTTAAGTGTGTGCCTAACAAGTGTTAATGTGTGTAATGGGTGCTGCTTTTTACTAAAAAATCACTTTGTTCCCTCTCCCTGCTATGCAAGGAGAAGAAACAAAGAGATTGTTACCTCTGTATAGAGCCTTGTGCTGTTTGCGCACGTGCCCTGAACCCGGAAACAGGAAGCAACGTACAGGTATGTAGCTGTGTCTGTAGGAGCCGTCCATCTGCAGTATAACGTGGGCAGTCCTAAAGTGGTCAAAGTGTAAGCATGCTAGTGTAATTTGGTGTTCAGGTGCTCCTGGTGCTGAATACAGATGTAAGGTCCTAAACATAGTCTGTCTGTATGCATGTGACTCTTTGCACAAGTAGTGTGGCATACCTGTTTTAACAGCCACCTACACCCAATCATTTCAATGGGCAGCTGTAGACAACAGCAGGGGCTCCAGGGCACCGAAATATGCTAGCATATATATCCTGTAAGGTGGAATATGCCCATGATCATGAGCCCAAAAAGCAATCTCCAAAAATTAAATTCATGTGAAGTCCCTATTCCATATACTGAGCAATCCCAGCCAAAATTGTCTTTTTAAAAAACCCTGCATGTACCAACTCCTCCTGCAAATGAACACAAGCTCACCTTTTTGTGTGGACCTTAAAGGATTTGTTCACCTTTATACAAATAATAATAAATGCACATTTTTTTTGCAGGTAAGAAAATATGCATTTATTAGTTTTTGTTGCAGGTGCCTGTAAGCCATTTCACCAGTGATCAGTAGATCGCTGGTGTCATGCAGGTGTCCTGCAGATCTGTCAGTATACGTGTTTGCCCGGGCAGTACGGACAAGCAGATATGCTGACAGGAAGACTCAGTAAACTACCACAGCACTCCACAACGCCATGGAAGTTCATTGAGAACTGCAAGCCGACAGCCGCTAAGGCTGAATGAGTGATACGACTGGGTGGGCAGAGCCCAGCAGAGCTGAGTTTTTTTTTTTTAGATCCCCCACTAGCTGTCAAAGTGGGGGTGCGGAGGCCAGTGCATTCATAACATGTTACACCCTGAATATGGGTGTAACATGTTATGAAAGGTGAACTTATACTTTAATTATAATCTTATAAATAAAGTCAGAAAATGCAGTATACCCATACAAAGTTTAACAGTCCCCAGAGGAGGCCTACTTCTCCAAACTCCATCCAGAATGTATCATAAGGATATAAAGCAGCACATAAGGGGTTGATTTGCAGAAACTGGAGTGCAAAATCTGGTGCAGCTGTGCATGGTAGCCAAATAGTTCACCTTTCATTACATGTTACACCCATATTCAGGGCGTAACATGTATGAATGCACTGGCCCCCACTCCCCCTCTTTGACAGCTAGCGGGGGAACTTCTTCCCTGTCGCTAGCTCTCACATTTTAAAAAAATTATCTGAGAACATTTCAAGTTCTGGCAGCCTTAGTGGCTGTCAGCTTGTAATTCTCAATGAACTACCACAGCACTGTGGAGTGCCATAGTAGCTCATTGAGTCTTCCTGTCAGTATATCTGCTTGCCCGTACATCCTGTACTTATACTAACAGGTCTGCAGGAGACCTGCATGACACCAGCAATCTGCTGATCGCTGGTGCAATTCTTTCCAGGCTCCTGCAACAAAAAATAATAAATGCACATTTTTTTACCTGCATTTATTATTTTTGTGTAAGGTGAAGCTTAAGCTCTGTAAGATTATACCCCCTTCATGTCCAGGCCATTGAAATGAAATTAAATTTATATAGTTTTGTTTCACAAAATAGAGCTTTCTTTTGGTGGCATTTGATTACCACCGGGTTTTTTATTTTGTATTATATAAATGAAAAAAGTTTTGTCGAGGAACTTAAACTACTATACAGCTCTAATCTGGGTGTTTTGAATACAGATTTGTAAGCAAGCTGTTAGCAGACTTTCAGCAAGCTTCAAACAGCGTTAATGCTCAGATACAGGCAACATCCCCATTGAAATCTGTTCATCAGTGACTAACAGTGAAACAAACAATTTTATTTTAATGCCAGAAATAACAAGCAGTACATTTTTTAAACTGAGGAACAGTTACTTTGGATTATTTCAAGACATCTTCCAGATCATAAACGGGGGTACTAAATCTCTTGTTATGAAGGGTGATTTCATATGTTAGGAGCTTCACTACAGTAAGCAGGCTGAAATATATTCAGGCGAGCATTTATGGAATAATATGAATCATTTTTGTCATCCTTTCCCAAATCCAATTCCTTAACAAGAGAGAGTATTTTTTCCCTACTGCTTCCGTTGCAGTTAGTCTATTCCAGGAAGATTTAGCCTGTGACCTAAAAAAATACTTTGAAAAGGTATGCTTGCTATTTAAGAAATCAGTTTAACTAAATAGTTTTTATTTAGTAAGAAATGTAGTTTTAACGAATGTATGCAAACCAGATTATTAAATGAACAACTTACTTTTGCCATTTCAATACACCTTAAAGAAACCTGTGAGTTGCCAGAGATGATAAATACAAGTTCTTGTAGAATATATTGTAATTTATATTTATATATGGAAATACACATATAGCATGGTATTTATATTGTCCTTTGCTTCTGTTAAAGGTTGGAGAAGATGCACGACATTCAGGGCCCCCAGTTTTACCTAGGCCTTCTAGCACCTTTAATACGGTCACTAGAGGTCACTGTCAGGATATGATGCCAGTAGGTATGTATCATGTAATGAAAGATGTTTACAAAAATGGCTTCTTTGACATGTAGTATATTTTGTTGGTGTTTTTTCCCCCTATATTTATATGAAAAGGTATAGAGGTGTCTATGTGCAGCTTTTATTTCCTTGCAGAGGGTTGGATCTTGGATCCAGCTTTGTGCCGAGTGCTCTTTTCTCTCCATTAGCCTGTGAAAGGGAGGGGTAGCATATGTGAGTAGTTCCGAGGTCACCTGCCAAGGAGTGAAGAGAAGAGTGAGTGCTGATAATAGTTGATTCCAATTATAATTATTGTGGACAGTGAGTCTTGCATTATCGTGTTATGAAAAATGAATGCTTGATTTGGAATTGTGTGCCAGCTTGATACTGCCTTTCACTGGCTTGCACTAATGGGATCAGAGCACAGGGATACAACCTCTGATAAGGAGAAGAAAAATAAACTTCCAGGAGGTAGTCTGTAGAACTATAGAAAAGATAATTTTGCTGGGAGCAGATGTGATTTAGAAGTCTTTGAAAGGCGCAGGAGTGAGAAATCCCTGACTTGTACTGTAGTAGGCTCAAGCTAAAATGAATTCCGCTAGTTACCAGTATCATTATTCAAGGTCAGATCAGCCAGACAAAGAGCCGATGTAAACCAGCAGAAGAAAGAGTTGGTTTCAGTCATTTACAAACAGTTGTGGATTACTCAGCTATTTGGTCTGAGGTTATTATTCACAGATATTCCCTGGATCAACTTTACCTATAAATGTTAGTATCCAGTTATATTCTGTGTATCTAAGAAAGAATCCAGGCCTTTTTTGAAGCAGCCCACGAGCTGGCCAGAACCAACTCTTGAGGGAGTCTATTCCACATTTTCACAGCTCCGACTGTGAAGAAACCTTATCGTATTTGGAGATTAAATCTCTTTTCCTCCAGATGTAAAGGGTAAATCCTTGTCCTCTGTGATGACTTCAAGGTGAATAACTCTACACTGAGTTCACTATATGAACCACTGATGTATTTATACATGTTGATCATATCCCCCCTTAATCTCCTCTTCTCAAGAGAGAATAAATTCAGTTCCTCTAATCTTTCCTCATATCCTCATAGCTGAGCTCCTCCATGCCTCTTATCAGTTTGGTTGCCCTTCTCTGTACTTTCTCCAGTTCCCCAATATTCTTTTTCTGAAGTGATGCCCAAAACTGAACTGCATATTCCAGATGAGGTATTACTTAATCATTTGTACAGGGGTAAATGATATCTCTCTCTCTCTCTCTGGAGTCTATACCTCTTTTAATACAAGAGAGGATTTTTCTTGTTTTAGAAACTGCAGCTTGGCATTGCATGCCATTATTAAGCTTGTGATCTACCAGAACTCCCAGATCCTTCTCCACAATTGATTTCCCCAGTTGTACTTCCCCATAGTATGTATGATGCATGCATATTCCTAGCCCCCAAGTGCATAACCTTACATTTATCAACATTAAACCTCATTTGCCACATAGTTGCCCAATTAAACAGTGCATTGAGGTCGGCTTGTAAGTCGGAGACATCCTGTAAGGTCGTTACTGCACTGCAAAGCTTGGTGTCATCTGCAAAGACTGAAACGGTATTTTAATTCCAGACCTTATATCGTTTATTCATATATTAAAAAGTAAGGGTCCCAACACTAAACCTTGGGGTACACCACTGACAACCCTAGACCATTCAGAGTATGAATTATTAACCACTACTCTCTGAATATGATTTTCTATCCATATACATACTGAGTTTTTCCAAGCTGTAGACTTTAACTTACACACTAGCCATGTGGGGGGAACTGTGTCAAATGCTTTTGCAAAATCCAAGTATACCACATCCACCGCCACCCCTCTGTCTAAGGTTTTAATTGCCCCCTCATAAAAAGAAATCAGATTTTTTTGACAACTTCTGTCATTCAAGAATCCATGCTGTCTGTTCCTTATAAAAACATTTTCCCAGCAAGAACTCATCCATGTGGTCCTTTATTAACCACTTCAAGTCCAGACATTTTAACCCCCTTCCTGTCCAGGCCAATTTTCAGGTTTCAGCACTGTCACACTTTGAATGACAATTACATAGTCATTCAACACTGTACCCATATGCATTTTTTAGCATTTTTTGAGACAGATAAAACTTTATTTTTGTGGTATTTATTCACCACATTTTTATTTTTTATGCTATATAAATGTAAAAGTGTTTTTCTTATACATTTTTGCAAATAAATAATCTTTCTTTATAAATCTTGGCCAAAATGTATTCAGCTATCTTTTTAGTAAAAAAAATAATCCAAATTAGTTTATAACCAAAAAGTATAATTTTCCAAATTTTTACATTTTTATTTAATTTTTTTATAATTTATTTATTTTTTAACATACTGTCACTCTAGCAGTACAGTGTCACCAAAGTGACACTGTACTACCTGTGGAGGGGTGACGAAGATATATATATGTATATATATTTTTTTTATACTGATTGCTTTTACACCCATAAAGCCTGTAAAAGCAATCATTTCTCCTCCTCTCTGACTGCATTCTTGCAGCCATTGAGAAATACTGTGAGAGCTGTGATTGGTCACAGCTTGTCACATGGTACAAGGCTGTTGTGAATAGACTTGTACCATGTGATCTCTGTGATCATTCATATATCATTCAATATATGGGAATATATTTTGCAGTGTGTGTGTGTACAATCTTTTTGAAGAACTCTCATTTCTGTGTTGTGTTCATCGATGCCAGTATTCCCTCCCAGTCTTGGAGATCAGCTCTCAGCCTTGGGAAATTAGCTCTCCTAAAGTTGAGCGTTCTTATTTTTCTTGTTGTTTACAATAAATTAAATCATGTTATGGTCATTGCTACCCAGATGTTCTTTTACATGGACATTAGTAATATGCTCTACATAGTTTGAGATTACCAGGTCCAGCAGAGCATCATTCCTAGTTAGGGCCTCTATGAACTGTACCATAAAATTGTCCTGTAGTAGGTTTATAAATGTATGCCCTTTAACTGTTCCTGCAGTGCTATTACTCCAGTCAATTTCCAGGTAGTTAAAATCTCCCATTATTATCACTGTCCCAACCCTTGCAGCCCTCTCGATCTGTGCAAGGAGCTGAGTCTCCACCTCCTCATTAACACTGGGTGGCCTATAACAAACTCCAATGATTACCTTTGTAGTACGCACCCCCATGTGCAGTTCCACCCATAATGCTTCAGCTTCATCACCCTCTTTATCAACTAGATCCTCTTTCACACTCACTCTGAGATCATAGACTCATAGCTTGATTTCATTTATTGTTATCTGTAAACAGCAAGCACATACGGGAAAAATAAAACCGCTCAATTTTAAGAGAGCTAATTTTCCAAGGCTGAGAGCTGCTGTCCAAGACTTAGACTGGGAGGGAATATTGGCATCAATGAACACAACACAGAAATGGGAGTTCTTAAAAAGATTGTATTTGAAGACACTGCAAAATATATTCACATGGGCAACAAGTTTAGCTACTTGCCAACCGCAGATAGCCGAATGACGGCTACACTGTGGCCGGCCAGTTCTGGGAGGGCGTCATATGACGTCCCCCCAGAACACGCTCTCCTGCACGCCCCCGGAAGGCGCACACCCGGCGATCTCATGATCGCTGTGTCCTACGGACACAGCTGATCACGTGATGTGGTAAATGGCCAATCACAGTTCTCGGCTGCACTTTCCTCACGCTGTCAGATAGTGAGTGAAAGTACTGCCGAGAACCGGCAGTTGTCAGAGCAGGGATCGGCACCGATCATCAGGGCACTGATGATCAGTGCCCTGATGATCGGTGCCCAGCAGTGCCACCCACCAGTGTGCCCAGCAGTGCACCCTCCTGTGCCCAGCAGTGCACCCACCTGTGTCACCCAGCAGTGCCACACACCTGTGCCCAGAAGTGCCACCTACCTGTGCCCAGCAGTGCCACCCACCTGTGCCCACCCACTTGCACCCACCAGTGCCACCCCACCTGTGCCCACCCACTTGTGCTCACCAGTGCCACCCACCTGTGCCCACCAGTGCCACCCACCAGTGCCCAGCAGTGCTGCCAATCAGGGCCACCAGTCAGTGCCCAGCGGTTGTGCCAGTCAGTGCCCAGCATTTGCGCCAGTCAATGCCTAGCAGTGCCGCCAGTCAGTGCCCAGCAGTGATGCCAGTCAGTGCCACCTATCAGTGCAGTCTATCAGTGACACCTATCAGTGCCGCCTATCCGTAACACCTCATTAGTGCTGCCTATCAGTGCCGCCTATCCGTGCCACCTCATTAGTGCTGCCTGTCAGTGCCCATCAGTGCCGCCTTATCAACACACATCAGTGAAGAAGAAAAATTACCTGTTTGAAAAATTTTATAATAAAAAACGAATAAACTTTTTTTTTTCACATTTTTTGCACTTTTTTTGTTTATAGCGGCGATTAAATACCACCAAAAGAAAGCTCTATTTGTGAGAAAAAAATAAAAATTTCATATGCGTACAATCTTGCATGACCCCACAATTGTCAATCAAAGTGCGACAGCGTTGAAAGCTGAAAATTGGCCTGGTAAAGAAGGGGGTATAAGTGCCTTGTAGGCAAGTGGTTAAAAGGCTAAAAATCAAACCTAATGTGGCTTACAGCCAAAGTTAAAAAAGCTATAAATAATAAGAAAAGAGCTTTTATTAAATATAAAAAAGAAGGAACGCTATCATCATTTAAACATTACAAATAATATAACAGAATATGCAAAAAGGAAATCAAGGCCACAAAAATTGAAAATGAACAACAGATTGCAAAACATAGCAGGACAAACCCCCAAAAATTCTTCAAATATATTAATAGTAAAAAGGTCCGGTCTGAGCATGTAGGCCCTTTACAAAATATTCTAGACTGGGTGACTGGGGACGAAGAGAAGGCAAATGTATTAAATATCTTCTTCAGCTCTGTGTATACAAAGGAGCAGGGGGAGCTCTTGTCCATAATGGGTTTGGTATTGACACAGCCCCAGATGAT